AAATCAAATCTACTATCAGTTATCGTCTTCACCGTAAAAATGTTCATATTTTCAACAAATATTATAATAAATAGCAATTGTATTAAACGGTGCACTTGGATGTGACACTCAATTCACAGACATAACAGCATACTTATGGACATTGTGTGGGAATATTGATACAAAAAAGTTTTGTAAATAAATAATTAAATTAATGTTTCAAATGTGTTTTTGAGCCAAAAAATCGTACGACTATTTATAGCTGTTGTAAAAAGTGTTTTGTAATTATTATAAATCGTATTGAATTGACTGCACATATGATTTGAACAGAAATTTAATAATTTCTCATTTGAAGTCTCGATATATTTGTAAATGTATGTCATTTTTGTTTACTAATAATGTTTTCCAAGATTACCTTGGACAAATAATAACCTAATATGATTATATGTGGTTTAAAAATACGCGCCTTAGCCCGAATTGGAAAATGATTGAGCTGATGTCATAGGGCCAAAAGTCATCAGGGTGGATTTTATTTAAATAAATAGCAAACGACTCACAAGTTGCTAAACAAAATTATTTTTACGCTAATCAACACATCTAACAAGTTTGTTGTTTTGTTACAATATTATATTTTTAAGCTCATAATTAAATGTATTCTCTATACTAACGTGTGATTTAAAGCTAATGTCTAATCATATATTAAGTTATTATAAAAAATAATCGCATTTAGCGTTTGTTATCGCAAAATAAAACTTATATTAAATTTCGTTAAACAGAGAAAAAGTGCACAAACTTTGCACCAAAAGTCAAATCCAAGTGAACTGTACTCTGAAAGAGAGAAATCATTGATTTGGTTTTAAAAAATTCCAAATTATATTAAATGTACGAACTTTACAACCAAATGGACCGGTAATGTGTGGTTAACTGTTTAAAAATGAAAGTGATCATTTTGATGTGAACACAACAACACTATTTACTTAATACACCGATTATTACAAATTATATTAAATGTACAAACTTTACAACCAAATGGACCGGTAATGTGTGGTTAACTGTTTAAAAATGAAAGTGATCATTTTGATGTGAACACAACAACACTATTTACTTAATACACCGATTATTACTCAACTAAACGTGATTTCGTAATAGAAATAAGTGAACAAAAAAGTTATCAACACTTTGTAGTGTCATAACAGAGTCTAATCAATACATTAATAAAAACCACACAAAATATTCAATCGAAAGAAGAAATAATGTTTTTTATAAGTGCTTTTGTTTTGACGCTAATTGTATGGTTGGGATTGGCGTCAGTCGGACACGACTTCTGGATCCATAGGAAATACATCGAGAAATTGATGAAACTCTTTGAATACGGCCGCAAACGAGTGGTTATCGTTGAGCACAAGATTAAGGAAAGGCAGAGGAAATTGAGCCGAATTAGAGAAGAAGCGTTTGTCGACACCGACGACGACGAGGCCGAAGATGTCTTCGACACTTTTGCCGATAAATCAGGTATTGTTTTATATACCCGTGTATTACACATCACATCAGTATTTAAACTTACAATACATTTACTGTTTTACTGTATATTATGGTAACTATAATCAAATTAATGATTAAATTAAATTAATGATAATTAAAAACTGACGAGAAAAGTGATGACCAAAACTTGTTGATTGAATTATTGACAGCAAATGGTGGCAAAAACGGCGATGTGTTTGAACACAGACGCCATCGCACTATGAGTTTGAGTATCAATCAGGAGAAGAAGGAGTTCCACGTGGC